GATGTGGGCTTTATTCTTCTGAAGTTCTCCTGGAATGGATCTGACCTGAGACTCACAGTAAGTCAGAGAGTTAATATGGGAAGCAATTATCCTTGTAAATTCCAGTCTGTTTCTCTCAAACCATAGCTTTTAAGATCTCTAAAGCCAGAGAAGTAGGTGGTTTGTTTCAGTTCCTCCCTTTCATTTGTCACTTTCTCATTCTTCACTGACTCTGACATAATACCTGTAGACACACTGGAACCAGCTAAGACTTCATTCATCCTACACTACCAATCACCAACTTGTGTCTCTCTGTCCATCTTTCCATTATTGGGAAGGAGCCTATGTTGAGTCATGCCTTACTTCCATGTGAATACTCAGCATAGCTTTGGTTCTTTTGATAAATGCTACCAGCTAGATTAGCACAGTTTCTTCTCCTTGCATTTGTGCAGATAGATAACAGTTTCCTATCAATCTTTCTCAGACTAAACTGTGTAGAGTGTGTAATGTGGACTGGGGTGCTTCTTCTATCTCAGATAAGCATGCCTAGTCTTCAAAACATTCTGTCAGCTACTCACATGCCATTCTTATGAGGGCACAATTGACAGTTAAAGCTCCTCTGGATGTCTGCCCTGTAGTAGTTGTTGCAAATGAATGGAGTTACAAGCCAGGAATATAACTCAGAGACAGAATACTTCCTTAGCATGTGCAATGTGTTAGGTTCAAAATTAGTACATTATGGATGACGGAGATGGAAAATTAACCCTGTTATATCCTATGAAGTGAAATACAGTAAACTGTTAGTTATTGTAAAAGCTTTAAAATTCTCCCAACTCCATTTCTTGGCCTTTGTTAACTGTGGCAAACATTGATTTTGAGGATAAATATTTCCAAAGTAGGATAGATATACACAGAGACCATATACAGAGATATGTAGCTTATTAAAATCTGTGGCTTTGATGATGGACTGGAAAATGTCTTAAGCAGGTAAAGGTAATACAGACAAGCCTGGAGACATGCATTTATATCCCTGGGACCACCTTATTGATAGAAAGAATTAAAAAAAAATCTGCCAGAAATTGTTCTCTGAGTTGCATGTAGTTGGGGGTGCCAGGTCTTGACCCACTGAAACTAAGACAACTGTCTTCCCATTTCTCATTTATGCTAGAATATCTCCATCTGATGCACTTATATCAATATATTGCCACGTGTTCTAGTGATTTTGGACTTTTTCTTATTTTAGTTTGGCAACAAAGAACCATGGAAATAAAGAAGACCAATATCAAATCATTATGAGAAAAACAGATTAAGAGAATGTGGTCATCTTGAATTTGTAGATTTGCTAACTTTTGTTATTCCCCAAATGCCCCAACACATCTTCTAGAGATGTCTGGCTAACACTTACTTATTGTCTATTATTCTCTCCAAGAGCTCATACATTGTGGTGAATGTCAAGACAGTCTCTATGGCTTGCCCATGCCTCACTGGCACTGACAGACTTTTCTAATGAGGATGACATGTTCTGAATGATTCAAATTTGGTCCAGGTCACTATCATTGCCTTCTGCTGTGGGATGGTCTGTATGTCAAATCTGTTGCTCTGATTGGTCAATAAATAAAACACTGATTGGCCAGTGGCCAGGCAGGAGGAAGTATAGGCAGGACAAGGAGGAGAAGATTTCTGGGAAGTGGAAGGCTGAGTCAGAGAAACTACCAGCCGACACCATGACAAGCCGCATGTGAAGACGCTGGTAAGCCACAAGCCACGTGGCAAGGTATAGATTTATGGAAATGGATTAATTTAAGCTATAAAAACAGTTAGCAAGAAGCCTGCCACGACCATACAGTTTGTAAGCAATATAAGTCTCTGTGTTTACTTGGTTGGGTCTGAGTGGCTGTGGGACTGGCGGGTGACAAAGATTTGTCCTGACTGTGGGCAAGGCAGGAAAACTAGCTACAGCCTTCTGTTGTCATCCACATTCCTCTTAGCTGTGAGCAGTCTATACTCCACCCAGAGCCCAGGAATTCACAGAATCAGCACTCCTGAGTATGACCCTGGGATGAACATGGTGAGAGTAGAGAACTAATGGCTGCAAGTTGTCCATTGACCTACAACCATGCTCTGCGCATGTGTGCAAACACATATATAAATATACAGATGAGTAAATGTAATAAAGTTTTGAGAACAGAATTCCATACCAGGCAACTCTCAACCTTGTCTTGTCAAGTGACACAGACATTTATGGAGAAATGATGAAGAAAAACCATGTTTCTGTCGAGATTTTTAAACAAATGTTGGATGAAAGAACATGAGGCAGCCAGAATGATGCTGGGGGGGACCACAAAGGCTTTGGATGTTCTGGAAGGTTTGTTTCACATAGAGCAAGGATGAAGATTTGGATCTGTGTGTGACAATGAGCACACACACACACACACACACACACACACACACACACACACATCTCTGATGTTTTCTAAATCTATAGAGACCCTCAGTGAGGAAACATTGACAATGTTGTGACAGTAGAGGGGAGACAACGTCCTTCCCCCTTCCTTTCCTGCTGTCTCTGTCACATTCCACTACCATTTAGCACTTACTGCATTCTATTTGTATTATTGTTAGCTGTCAACAATCTGTCTTTTTCTTCCCTTAATAGTTTCATTCAGCTGACAATTATGGGAGGTTATAAGTGTCAGCAGGCACAAAGGGGTAACACTGAAGAGAACATCCAATAAAGATGAGTTACCAAACATGGTGGTGTGGTGACATGCCACTGATCCCAGCACCAGGGAAGTACTGACAGAACAATCAGGAGTCTGAGACAACCTTGGGCTACAAGAGACCCTCCCTAAGACAATAACATAAATAAAAATGAAGAACAGCCTGTCTTCACAGTGGAGAGAGAGCTGATGGAACAATATGTGGAAACATGGCCTGAATTGGCCCTGTGTGCTCTCAGGTTCTGTCTCCCAGAACACGTAGCAGTTGGGGAGCTGAAGCCTCTTATTTGATAGACCAGCCTGGATTTCCTGCAGCAGGCAGAACCCTTCCTAGGCACCCAGCAGAGCCAAGGCCTTGGAAACAATTACTGGGCCTCTGGGCAAAAAAGCCTTAGGTATATGCTGGAGATGTCTTTCTGTATGCTGTAAATGTGATTTGGTTGATAAATAAAATGCTTATTGGCCAGTAGCCAAGCAGGAAGTATAGTATAGGCAGGACAAAGAAAGAGCAGCATTCTTGGAACAGGAAGGATGAGTCAGGAGATGCTGCCAGCCACCACTGTGAGAAGCAAGATGTGAAGGCAGAACTGAGAAAAGGTACCAAGCCATGTGGGTAAACATAAATAATAATTATGGGTTAATTTAAGTGTAAGAGCTAGTCAGTAATAAACTTGAGCTAATGGCCATACAGTTCATAAATAATGTAAGCCTCTGTGTGTTTACTTGGGTCCCAGTGGCTGTGGGACTGGCAGATGAGAGAGATTTGTCCTGACCTCTGGCAGGCTG